TCGTAATAGAACTTTGCATTGATCAGTTTGGATCATATATTTTGTAGGAATTGCTAGTAATATTGACTTAAAACATCAAAATCTTCTCAGAATCGGACTAAATTATCATAAAGCTCTACGTAAACAAAGATAGAAAAAGGCACAATTAAGCCTAATGTCGGCAAGAGTATTAATTCTTCGGCTTGCCGAGGTTAGTCGTGTTTTTTGTTTCTTGCATAATTTCACGCGACAGCTCAAGTGCTGACTGATTTTCCAGCCGGCTAGCCGAGGCGCGACGCGTTGACGTTGGCGACGTTTAACTTTTGCATAATTACGTGTAAGAAGAAAAGTTGCAAGCTTGCGGGTTCTTCTGATGGCGTAGGACGAGACGGTTCGAACTTTGTAAAAAATTTAACTAAAGGGAGAAAGTCAGCGTATCAGAGCTGCGAGCTACGCACACAGCTTAAACTTGCGTAGGGCAAGTTTTTATAAAATCAAATGCAAGGCGATAGCAGGTCGCCGTGGCGCTAATGGCACGCCCATGCCCCAGAGTATCGTTGACTTTAACTTGTGTGCACACACATACAAACACATACCTAACGTATGCATTCCACCAAAATACACACAAACACGTGCTTACAAATCTGGAGCAATAGCGTCAAGTGCACGCAGTTTATGCCATACGTTGCGGCAAGGTGGCACGACTCTAGCAAATAGGCCAGACGCTGTGCGGCGGCAGTCGCACCTACGCGCGCATTGGTGTCACCTACTAAACTGAACGGGGAAGCAGGGCACACAGAATGTTGCAAAGTAATCTCTGCGGCGGCAAATTTACAGCGCGCTGGCACTTGCTGCAGCGAGTTGTGGGCTGTTAATGAGGCAAGATATGCAGTCAGTGTGTGTGTGTTTGCATGTGCATGTGTGTGAGTACGTCTAAGTGCGTTGGCGTCGCTCTGAAACCCGACAGACGACAACAAAGGCAACGCTGACAATGCTGGCGGCTTGTTGTTTTTGTCTTGCCTACTTTTGTGCGCCACCTTGTCGACCTTCTTGAAGCACAGTGGGGTCTAAGGCACAAAAAAGGCTTCCTTCAAATTGAATCGAATAGAAAATCCAACACAAATTACGATCACAAAACGAAAATGATAGAGCTTCTACAGAGGAGCTCGATACAACCTGTGTGAGCATTCACCATAAAGCTTATTAGAACTTGAATTGATTACATTATTTTCTTCACCAATTATGATTTAGCTGGTCAGCAAATTAGCTCTTAATAAGCTTCCAATTGGTTAAAAGAAAACCACACACGACTATGTAAATGCTATTTTTTTATTTTCCACGAAAATAAAATCTAATCGTTCCACTGTCCCACATAGTGTTACCATAAACAAAGTAGACTTTCTATTAAACGGAGAACCAAACAATTATAATGAAAATTATGCTTATACTAACTACCAAATATTTTTGGCTAGCTTTCATTTAATTAAAGCAGGGCTTTCCATAATTAGTTTCTTTACTATTTCTTTACTATCTGCTGGATCGTGAGTGGCTATCAAGTCCAACGTCCAACTTTTGGCGCGCTGATTATTAGCTATATTATTATTATTATCATTACTATTATTATTATTATTATTACTATTATTATTATTATTATTATTATTATTATTATTATTATTATTATTATTATTATTATTATTATTATTATTATTATTATTATTATTATTATTATTATTATTATTATTATTATTATTATTATTATTACTATTATTATTATTATTATTATTATTATTATTATTATTATTATTATTATTAATTTGATTTTTATTATAAGTGTTATTTTTATAATTTTTATTTTAATTGTTATATTATTATTTAAAAAAATATAACATTTTTAGCTGGCATCTATGGCCTTCCACTAAGCCAATACTCCATCCATGCCTGATAGCTTGAATTAATCCAACTAGGATTCTCGCTGTTCAAAAATCCTCGTTGTCCGGTAATCCTTTTTGGTAGCCAAAGGGTCTGAAAACAAAGGCTAGTTAAATCCTAAATTCTAAGATAGCTTTAATTAAATAAATCTGTACAACACGAATCTTAAGCACGGCCATACTACAAGTCCTTGAATAGAATAGAAATCCTATATATCGATAGTAAATAAATGCCCCACAATAGATTATGTGTGGCTTGTAGGCGTGTCGAATGTGTTTTATTTCGAGGCTAATTGATGTGTAAGAGGAAAGCACTGGGCTTCTGGGCGGCAGCTGCCAATTGGGCGCCTGTCAGTTCAAGTATTGCTGCTCGTTATGCATTTGCCTGACTTTTAATTAATTGAACTACTTGGGAATTTTAATGCCATAGAACGAGTAATACGCATGCAAAACTTTGCCTGTATTAAACATATTTTTTCTTTATATATATTTTACTCTGGAAAAGTTGTGAGCCGCGTGCTATCAGCGTGCACTATGGAACTTTTGCTGACTTTTACTTTAACATTGTGCTCTCCCCCCACCCCGCCTCCTCACAAGTTATAGTAAGTTTTGCCATTGGAGGACAGTGGAAGCTAAGGGGCTGGTTTGTGTGGGGGTTGGCCATCGGCTAAGTCAAGAGATAATCCTTTGTTGTTTTTTATTGCGTTAGCCTGTCGTTTTGTGGTTTAGCGCTTTAAGACAATAAATTGAATTTGGCGCCAAACGGAATGGCCACAAAGGCGCCCAGCTGTGGCATGCAGCAAGCCGGGTTGTGGCACGCAGCGAGTGCACTTGTTTAGTCAAATGCATAAGCATAAGCTGATTTGCGGCAATTGCATTTGATGCACTCGCTTGAGCTCCGCTCTCGCTGCTGCTCCCTCCTCAGCTGGCTGCTCTTTGTGTTGTTGACTTGGCTATTAGCTTAGCTCGCCAGCAGTACAAATGATATTTTGTTATTTGGTTGGGTTTTCTTTGATTTTTGCTCTATTATTACATAATACAAGAGCTGCCACGCCCTGCATAGAGCTGAACACAATTGCAATGCCCATTTCGGACTGCCAGAAACGCCAAACCCCTGCCCACTCCCACCCTTGCTGCCATATACGCTGTGCCTGTGCACCACTTTGTTTGCGTGCAATTCCGTAAAGTCCTGTGCGTGCATTCAGGTTATTCCAGCAGCTCAGGCGTTTGACATGAAAAATGCATTTTATTGGGATTATTTTTATATCGTGTCCTGCCATCCGCCCCCAATAACACCAGCAGCAACGCCGACGCTCAATTAAATCGGCTTTGCCTGTGCTTTGCCTATTTAAATTGGCTGAAAGCTCAGGCTAATGCCCAAAATTTAATTAAATTTACATTAATGTTTTGTTTAGCTAGATGCCTCTCACTTATTTTATTGTTAGAGGGTATTATAAATCTGTCATGAAACGTGTAACGCACAGATTAAGCCATCTCTGAGCCCAAAGAGTGTATATATTCTTGATTGGTAATAATAATATAGACTGTCTCAGTCAAGACTTAAGTTCTTGTATAGCCAAGGGCTTTGTTTTTCAACATATCTTCAATAAAATTGACATAGACGAGCTCTTTGATGCTTTTTGTATATCATTAAGTTCTTTAGGAGAACACAGTCGAGAGATTGGTTTTTATTTGAAAAAACGTTCTGTTAATAGAGATATCTAGACCAATCTCTGCAGTTGCAAGCTTTACAGTTATCCTTACATATTTGCAAAGGGTATTTAGTTTTCGTCCTGCCATTTTTTCTTGTTTAATAAAAATTTAAAATTTTTAATATATGATTTTAGCGCTTGAAAACAGTTTTCGCACTTATAATTCAATTAACGCGACGCAATTTCAGCAAAAATTGACAATAACAACAACAACTGCAATTAGCCATTGTGCTTTGTGCGGCGGGCAGCGTTAATAGCCAATTATGTGCCTTATTTTCAGCTACACATATGCACGCATATATGCCTGTTCTGTTAGGGTGTGTGTGTGTGTGTGCCAGTGTCCAGCTTCTGCCCATTCAGGTGCAGCTCGTGGCTGCGGTTACTCGCATGGTGTCCCTACGTGCTCGGCTTTCAAACTTTGCGATTTGATGTCGAAAAGTGTTGGAAGCCATGAACACCACTCGACATTAGTTTATAATTTTGATTGTGCAAAATGGCTTGTGTTTGTTAAGCGTTATCAGTATTAAAATATGCTGCATAGCACTTAAAAAAAATCATCAGCAATGAGTATTTTTCTGAGTACTGCCGGGTAGAAACCCTTCGGAATACTCAAAAGTACTGCTTTACTCAAAAGTACTTGAAAATGAACCCAAATACAACCGTTTTTATTTATATGCACAGAAAAATTCAATTTTTCCGAATTTTGTACACACATGAAATCATTAGCGTGGCGTGAAGCGTTGAGAATCGCACAGAAGGGTCCAATTTTGGGGGAAGGCAGACTGACAGAAGGGAGAGGAAAAACACGTGTGAATGAGAGGAACAGAAAGTGGACGTAAACGGTAAGCCAGTGAGATTAGAAGAGAAATACAAAATTGAGTGAGCGACAGATATTAACTTTTTTAGCAGAGAATAGAAGAGAAAGAACCACTTATACAATTATTGCTTATCGCAAGAAACATACAGATTTCAAATGTAGAAAGTTATGAGAATCCCATAGAAAGGCGATATTCATAAATTTGAAGAAATGAGAGGCCCACAAATATGTGAAATCAAACCGATCTGTTTGTGGTATACAAGAATCTAATACAATGAATAAAGAATAATAAGGAAAAAGTCTTGAGTCGAGTCTCTTTTTTGTTAATCGAAAATTTTCTGAATTGTAAATAGACGGAAGAGCGGAGTTCTTTCTCCAAATACTCATGCTGGAATATCAACAATATTGTTTATAAACAATTATCAAACTGGACTGCTGCGATGACTTGCCGCAAAGTCTGATTGTGACTCAACGTTTGGCAACTGTTTATTTTCTTATCGCTATCGTTGTTGTTGCGGTCTTGCAGTCATAAAGCTTTAAAATAGAACTCAAGTTGATTACGCAATGCATTCTCAATTGGACGTAGGTGCATGGAAAATGTTTGGCAGCCTCTTCTCCAATCGATATAATAAGAAACGCGAAATTTTCTATGCTCAATATGAGGGTGAGCCTTAAAGTGAGATTTATATGTGCTCATTTTTCAAAATAAAATTTATTTTCTTAAGAGACACGTCAGCGTTATTCCAATCTGCCCATCTACAAGCGACCTAAAGAGCCTTTAAGCCGTAAGTCTCCAAAATATAGCCGCAGAAAAAGAAAACCCGCAGACTACGATTATGATGAGTGGTAAGTTTCTTGCTTATAAGGGCAGCGTAAAATCTAATAAGAAATTCCAAAAGGATTGCCGGCCATTTTGTTCCAATAGTGGTGCGTCGCGCCATTGAACAGTGGAGCCGCCGGCAATTGATGGAGCCCGTATCCAGCCTTGGCAGCGATGCCTGCAGCTGGCGCTCCTGGCCAAGTGGAGCAGATCCAGCTGAGCCGAGGCGTTCGCTACGTCTGGCAGATAAACCAAATTTAAGTCTTAACGAAATTGGCAATCCAAGTCAGAGGGAGACAAGCGACGCAATCAAATGGCCACAGCAGCTGTCTTTACATGAAGCGGACAATAAGCTGGGCAGCTCAGCCCAGACTTTTATCGACGGGTGGGTGGCTATCTTCGGCATGCCGAAAATTGAATACCCTTATAGATGAGTGACTTGGTAATGATCTTAGCCGAATACTAATTGTTACTATAGGAGACATATAGAGCAGTAAGATGAATTGACGCAGTTTTTCTGATATATCAGGAGAATGGTGATGTTTTGTTATTGATGAGTATGGATAAAACGTATTGAAAACCACAAATTTTTCCGAATGAAAATTCATTTTTTAACATATTCTTCCTATGACACTTTATCATATAGTTATCCATTTTTAATAAGATTTAGATCAAGTCTAGATAAGATTTAAGCTTGGGAGAGAATAACGAATTTTTTTACGCAAAATGGAGAGAAAAAGAAACTTATCAAGAATGTATATACATTCTGTCAAAGAAGAATCTATAATAACCTCTACTAGGGTATACGAACATATAAAACTTTTTCCATTGACCGATTGTAATGGTTCTACTTTGCATTGCAGCTGCCAGTTGCATGAGTCCCGGCTGGAGTGCAACATGTGCTGCAAGCATTTTGGCCAAAACTGTGAGTTGCAACTGCATTCGCTAGATGATTGCCGCAAATATTTGCTTGCCACACTGTCCAACTGAGCGCAAATCAAAGTTTAGCTAAGCAAGCGCCAACATTTAGTTACATAATAATCCAAGTTCTTGTAACTAAGTAGCAAGTGCAACCAGTTAATCAAATATAATTCGACTCGGACGTGGCAACATCTTGACTTGCCTCGCCTTGTTGGCACATTTAATATTTATTGTTAAAGGATTTACACAGATTTACACAGAATTTGCTTGACTAATTTAAATACAAATGACTAGTTGTGCAAGCCAGAAGTGTGTTAATTGAGCGTGCTCGACTGAGAAGTACCCTGTATGCATAAACTCTGGAATGATTTGTGAAGTTTATATTATGGCTTTTTAATTTTTATTTTTAACATTTTTAAAATAAAAGACACAAACTTTAAAGTAATGTAAATATATAATAAGTATATTATTTATTTTTTGCTAGCTTAGCCGAATCAATGTCTAGGCTTGCAGTTGTAAAAAAACCAAGTTGTTTATATTTTTCGGCCAAAATATTTCCCCTTATATATTTTTTTTAATACGTTTTCGTTAGCTATGCTAAGGGCATAATGTGCCAAAAACTAGTCGAGAAATTAAAAAAAAAATAAATAAAAATAAAGTGAAGCCTTAATTTCGTTAAAGTAAAGTAGAGCAAATTGTAAAAAAAAAAAATTTTCCTTTCCTTTGTTTAGACCAATAAAAAGGAAATAGTCAAGGCGGAGGCATTTGCCACTCAGCATGCACAGCGAATGCATAGTAAAATATGCATTTATTGCGGCTACTTTGCATTTATATGAATACCTTTTACCCTGATCGAGCCCAGAACTTCCAACGTGAATGCCGGCACGCAGCCAATAAAGTACACGTACTTAAATGATAAACAGTAGGTGTGCTCTAGTCAGAAGTGCCCGATTAGGAGATACCCTAAGCTCAACGCCAAGCTGCAGTTGCACAGTTTCTGGCTTACTTTTATACATACAGACACAAAAACATACGCAGGATGCAAGTTGCTTCCTCTTCCCATTTGTTCCATACTTTATAAGGAAAATTCATTCTTCACTTCAAAAGAAATTTCGTTTATACTTTTGAGAGGGACATGTATTATGTAGCGTGAAGTATTCCCAATACGAGAATCCCTTTGGTCTTTCGAGTGATGCCTGAATATAATATGTGGGTTGAGATCATATACCCAATTTGATCATTTTCAATAGGTTCAAGGTACAGTAAAAGAAGGCGCATATCCCATATGCGTGCGTGTGGATTAGTGCCATTTAAGTTATTAACACGTCAAGCGCCAATTGCAGCTGGACATCGAAGCCGTCACGCGTGGATTGGACAATGGGCGTTGAGGGCTTTAAGGCGTGTGCAAGCCTTATGCTTGCTTAATTTGCCCAACAACTTGAAGTGTTTGTCTGTAAAATTGATAAAGTGCCAGCGACTCCTTACTCTGGTAAGTCATTTGCAATGCAAATCTATCTTTTTGTGCAATTTGTAACTTTTGGTTTTCGCCTTTTTCTTAGTGTTGTGGTACAGTAAAAACTTGGCGGCACATATTGACAGAGCAATTAAATTTTTAATTACCCTTCGTGTACGTGTGTGTGTCTGTGAGCTTGGCTTGTTGAAACATATGCAGACATTAAATTTATTAACAAAATTAATGCGTAAAGTTGGCTCTGAAAGCCAAAGACAAAGGACTTGGCAGAGCTGCATGGAATTTTCGTGAGGACGAAGTGAAAGCAAACAGCCAAAAAGAAATTTCGCCAGACAAAGACTAAGAAATCATTTGAAGCTCTTTCTTTTTAGCGTATGCTAAAGTCAATTCTTTGAAATGTCTGTACTTTGAAATTAACAGTCAGAATATAATAAACTATGGCCAACTGGTTTAGTGAAAGTTGAAGGCTGCAGGAAGCTGGGGTTAAAATGAATTACTCCGAGTTAATCCAAGTTTTTAACATTGTGAAACATCAAACATTAAATGCTTGTGTTTCGATAGTCTAATTATTATAATACCAAATGTTAACGCTTAACTCGAAAGTCTATCTCATAAAATTCCACTAAGTACATTAGCTTATCCCAAAGAACTATTCCACAAAAATATGCTTAAACTATCCAGGCTTTAAATTTACTAGAAATAATCCTATTAAATAATCAAATTAATATCTTTAAATTTGATAAACGGATTCTCATGTGTATTTACAGTGATCGCTCGCGAATTGGAAGGGTTCTAGTTTCTAGATTCCCTACTTTCACCCATAAAAAGAAATGCCCTTGGCATTGTAAAAAGCATATGGCTCTTTAACTCTCTTGCTCTCTCAGCAAGCGATCGAGTTTTGGATTTTTAGCTGTCCCTTCTTTATATAGTATGTATAATTTAGATATATGATTCCCAAATGTCAAAGAAGTCCAAATAATTCTATACAGTTTTAATGCAGATCATATCAATCTCCCTTGATTGATTGATTTCTCTCCCTCTCTTTCCATCTCTCTCACTCCCTTTCTCTGTCTCTCTCCTCTCTCTCTTGCTCTCTCTTTTCTACTTCTTTTTCTTTTATATATATATATTTCTTTCTTTTATCTATCTCTTCTCCTCGTTCTCTCTCTACCACAGTCTCTCTCTCTTCTTTTTTGTTCTCCATATCTGTCTCTATTTCTCTATCTCTTTTTTCTTTATTTCTTTTTCAGCATTCATTTTTATTCATCTCTAGTCTAGAATTCTTTGCCTCAACTGACTTCGTGGCTCAAACTTTGCTATGTGTTTACACACATGCACAGACACACACACACAGACACACACCCACACAGGACACTAATACACCCACAGACTGGAGCTAATAACTCGTAAATGCCAACACATTCAAGGCCTCTGGGCAGACTCATGCGCGTACCGACTGCGACGCTTAACCCAAAACACGGCTTTAAACCCCGACAATTCCACTAACTGACAAACGCATGTGGGGAGGGAAAGCGGGTGCTAACTAAGCGCCGGCAGAGAGGCGGCATGGGTGGCACGCTTTTGCGCTTAGTCGCCGGCCAACACGGCGTCGTACATCTTCATTAAAATGCAATGCATTCTGGTGGCAGAGCGCGGCAATCGAACGAGCGGCGACCACAATCAATCTGACCAAGTCCAGAACCAACTGCGCCATTCCCCGACCCCTCCACAAGCCCAACAATCCCGAAGCCAAACTAAAATCGTGTAAGCGCTCGCGCGTGTAATGACAATGGCTGCGCGTGGCTTTGACTTTGACATGGCCAATGGCTGGAGGCAGGCAGGAAAACGGTTAGTGGAACAACAACAAAAAAAAAGCAGAAAGCCAACAGCTAGGGGCCCGCAGCTAGGACTCTATGCTGTCAGCTGTGGCAGCAACGCGCATCAACACGCACGTAAAAGTCGCATCCACGTTGACGTTGAGGCCGCGCTGTAAAGTCGAATAAATTCTGCAGCGAGTCATCAACAGAAATATAAACAAACATCTTGACTGTCAGCTAAAAGCAGCACCTTATAAACATTAAACGGGCTGATGCACAGCAGGTGGGCAAAGGAGGACAGTGGGTGCCGGTTGTTTGGTAGGGCATGTGTGCCATGTGTGGCATGTGGCATGAGGAAAGTGCCAGCCAGCATGCTCGTAAAATGATGCACAGATGCACATTCGCCTAGGTGTAAATCACGTAGCACTCCAACGTCTTTTACAGTTACCGTTGTTTTTCACAATAAAATTGAAAAGCAGCCAAAAACAGCAGCTAAAACAACATCAACAATAAAAAGGTGTGCTCCGGTCGACAGATACCCTGTATTTAGCGCTTAGATGCCGACAAAAGTATTCTTACTTCCCACTAAACGCTCATATGTTCACACACACAGACACGCACTTCTTCTTCCCTTAACCCCTCACTATATGAAACGCATTCTTGAATAACTTGGTGGCGTATTATCCAAGCCTGTACATAATGAGAACTTACATATCAAGTTTAGTGCCTTTGGCGTTGATTAAAGACTACAAAAAATGGCGCTAAAATCCATACTCTGCTTATGATATCCCAAAGTTCCAGTTCCAGTTAACCTGACTGACTTATATACTGACTGTTACATCCACTTGCACAAAACTAAAATACCCTTTTTTAACTACGGAAATAAGGCATAAAATGAGCAACAACAACAACAACAAGAATAACTACAACGCCAGCAAAACGCAAAAGTTTTAAAAGTAAAATGACAAGCGCACGTGCGACCCGCCACTGAGCCAAAACTCTGAGCCTTAGTCGCATTCCCGTAGATTCGCAGACCCGTACTCCCATTTACGGGCTTTTGTTTACGTCGCGCTCCGCCCGCTCCAACGCCGCCGCCTGACACTCGCAGCCGCCTCTGGCTGACTTATGGTTAGACATCGATCTACTGGGACCCGGAGCCGGTGCCCTGAACTACTTAAGCCGAAAACTTTATGCATTTCTCGTGCGGCTCATTACAACTCCAACAGAGCTGCAAAAATACGCTGCATGTGTAGATTGCGTATGCGTGTGTGTGTGTCCATATTCCATATGGCATTCACTTGCCTTGCGGCTGATAGACCGGGTCCAGTAACTGGGCCCTGGTCCTGGCCCAAGCACACGCGTCGAGTATTTTGTTTATTAAAATTAAGTGCCATGGACACTGCCCAGTGCACAGTGGCTCGATCCTAGCAGGCTTTACTTATTCCTAAGGCCCAATGGCTAAGTCATTCGTGTGTTCTTAAAGATATTACCTAATTGTAGAGTATGTGACTTGAAGACTAGCTGTGACGTTCAAACCTTGCGGAAATACCTGGTAAGTTTTTCAAGTCTGATCCTTCAAAAAAGGTTGAATAAATTTGTAACATACTCCCTCCACCACAAATTGGCAAACATATTAACTTACAAAAACGCATGCCAAAAAATGTAGATACAACAAGAAGAGGCTCTCGTCGAAACGTACGACTCGGCTATTGCTGCTGAGCAAGAATATATATACTTTATGGGGAGATATGTTTTCTTCATCCTTTCATGCTTATATACATTTCCACAAAAACGTGATACCATATTTACGCATTATTATTGGGCTTAGGGTATTGAAAAAGTAAAAATTTCAATTACAATTGAAATTTTAAATTTCACTTGCGGTGCACATAATTTGGCACCACGGTGCAGTGCTGGCCCGTTTCTATGGCTCTTGCTGTTGTTTGTCGACAGTTGCTTTTAATGCTGCACAGCGGCCAACATGTCCCATCCCCAGAACCCCTTCACCCGTTACCCCTTCCCCCTTCGACGCTCGTTGCAACCTGATGCACACTTTTTATTATGAGTCGCACACGCACACGTGTCCAGGTGGAAAGTCCGTCTGCTGCGATAGCAGCTGCGTG